CCCAGGAAGCTTTTAGCTTGCAGAAAATTTACTTCTCGGAGGTAGGGAGAGCAATCGCAAAGATTTAGCTAATAAGCGGTAAATTTTGATGAAAAATAGCTTTTCGCGGGTACCGATGATTGCTATCGCGCCTTCCAGAGAATGAAATGAGGAAGAGGCACTGGGTTTTTAAAGCAGTAACCTCAGGAATCGTCAATCCCAGCATTAACTGACTCATCGAGCCGGCCCACCCTACATTTTGTTGATTTTATCACTGCTGGAACTAATGCACCGTGACCCGAAACTCTTGTTAAATGTTAACTGGTTTTTGAGTCACACTGCTCATCTTCCTCACTCATTGTCCACCTAGAAAATGCAATTTGATCATGACGTACATAAACTGCACCTGGGAAGCTTTTGGAAGAGATCTGAACAAACACAACGAAAAAAGCCATAGACCTCATAGATCTAAGGAAAAGTACAGACATTTCTAGACCTCATAGATTCCAATTTTTTATTTTTCAAATTTCAAATTTCTAGACATTTCAACATCTTTCCAAATCCGAAAAAAGACTTTCTGGAACACATCAAGTATCATCTTCCCTGGTCTGTTCGCTGAAATTAAATCACCAGAAATCTCGTGGTGCACTTACAGATGACAGTTAACTATGCTGCTTTTATTAAAGAACGGAGAAGTAAGCCAGGCATCGGCTAATACGTTAGCCTTAGGATATTACCGGCCTCTTTTCGGTTATATGTATACTTATTTCAATACTTTGATTAGCTGCTGTTTCATCATCTTGCTCTTCTTGTCACTGACACATTTGGCTCTTCAACAGTTTTTTCCGTTTTGAGCTCACTCATTCAAATTGTTCTGCATAAAAGTCTAAGCTGTCCCTTCCAATGCATCAGTGACTTTAACAATCTAGTTATCCATTACTTCTTCTTGGCTTCAAACCCAAATTCTTATACATTCGTATGTTTCCTCCTAGCTTGACCAGCGAGGTCTAGGAACAAATCCTCAAGTATTACATCGAACAGCGAGCAACATGCATTCCTCATCGACGTGTTTTATTCATCGTGATTAGAAGTCCAGTTTTTGTATCGGAATCTCTTTTAACAGATCCTGTAGTGCTTCTAAACCTTCTACAATGAGGAGAGCGAAAATGAGTACTGAAAGATCCTCATCGTCGATACAAACCCCATCTTTATATGTATTTTCAAACTTCCGTCTTAAATAGGTCACTTAAGCTTTTAGAGGAACAAATTATGCCTTGCTTTACGCCTTTGCGGATTCTTATTTTTATTGGCTGGTCGAAAAGAGTTATTTCTGTTTTTGATCCAGTGAGAGAGGGCTTTTGATGGTTTGATTGCACAACAAATCCAATCCTTGATCAGCAAAGGCTTCATTAAGCCGTTTGTTTCTTGCAATTGTTTAGTGGCGAGCATAAATGAATTTTGTATTCTCTGCTTATTTCTACCAAATGTGCAACTGCAAAAATTGACCAACGGAGGGATACTGTTTTCTGTATCATTTTTGGTCTTCTCGATTGTTATCAAGAAACACTCTGTTGCACATCATTTAGCAGCACTTTTATGTTTTTTTGGCATCTAATGCAAGTGCAAAAACGCGCACTGTCGAAAAGTTGTTCGCGTATGTACAATCTCTGAGGTGAATGAACTTTGTCACTCACTTTCAACTCAGCAACCGGAAAAGCTAGAACTACATGTTACCCTCCCATTTTAAAATTTGCGCTCATTTGGCCTCACGTGCAGATATTTGGAAGACATGCATTTTGGTAAGAAGCGACTTAGGGAACCGGACAAGATAGAAGGCTAATAGTTTGCAAGGATATTCTTTGTGCATGTGTGAGTTAAATATTTCAAACCCAGCTACCGCGCACGACTACATAATGCGTGTGGTCACGTTGGTCTTCATTTGGCACCACGTCAACTTGATGTACGTGCTGGAGGTTAAGATTTCACGCGGCCCCATGATGCAACACTATTGTCACAGTCGCGAAACGATTCTTTTACTATTATCCTTCGTTGTTGCATTTCTTTCTTGGATTTTTCGATGGACGCTCTCTCCGTTTTGCTAATACTATCTGATCAGATCATACTGTTTCAGCTGCCGCAAACACATATTTCACTGGCATTCATTTATTTAATATAACCACACTGGGAAATGCACTGACGGGGAAACAAGGAGAAATCAACAATAATAAAAGCTCAGATAAAGTGACATACAATGTTGAGGCACTCATTTTGTTACACTTAAAAGGAATATCACTCAACAGGCAACAAAGAATAAAATGCAATAGACCAGAACAGAGTTCTGGTGTCGATTCAAACAAAAATTACTAAGTCAATAGAAGAGAAGAATTTAGCAAAAATTTCCTTCAGTATAGAGAGTTCCCCACCAATTCAGAGGCAAAATAGCTGGAAATGGACCTAACTAAACGTGAACTAAGGGAAAACATATCTCCCGAATTTCCGCACTGCAGTTCCAAGTGGTGGATTCCCAACCTAAAACTTTTGTCTAAAAATCCTTTTAAATACATCTGACTTGAGCCGCTAGTGAAACTAAAACCTCTCCCTCCCCCGGCCCCTACCTCCCACTCCCTTTCCACCCTGCCTAGTTACAGACCAGGGGGGAAAAATTTAGCAACCAGAAGGGTTTCATTCCGGAATTCTTGGTCTTAATTAACCGTAAAAATTGACAGCAAAATCGAAAATAATTAAGGAAAGAAAAAATATCTGTCAATATCAATAAGTCATTAATGTTAACAATATCGATAAAGCTAATAATGTTAACAATATCGATAAAGCTATTAGGATTTTTATACATGATTATCACAGTTTACGAGCACAAATTCGTGGAAACCAGCCACGGATCATCACAACATTTTCTTTTCTTGGTTCCGAAGAATCGCCAAAGAATTCAACGGCTGTCTCTTCATTTAGAAAAGTACCATAAAACCAGTGTTTGTTAGCTCTGGTCACCATCCAGTGCTCTCCAAGCTAAAGAAATGTCTATTTGGGTTCACAAGGAAGATAAAAAGTCTTCCTAGAAATGAGCAATAGTTAAAAAGATTGGTGATAGAAGTGATCTTTTGAGGGAAAATTGCTAACTCGGGAACCAGGAAAGCTGGGAAACTGAAATTTTAAAGGGATGTCCCCAGATCACGTGCAAATTAAAGATTTCAAATTGAAATTCCGCAGGCGCTAAAATTGCTAGTAAAACCAGTAGACCAGAAGTGGTGGCACAAACCTTCACAGGTTGTCGTGTTTCCTCAGACCAAGGCTGATAATACCAAATGCGCAGACCAAATCTGATCGAAGAGCAATAGCCACCGGAGAATTCTTTGATAATTTCAACCTCGTTAGCATTATCTCGTTTATTTTTCTTCTGAAGCAGCTGCTCCTCCTGAAATTACAAAAACTGTCCCAACATGTGGCTTTGTTTAATACAAAAATGAAGCTACTGCACCTCATAAGATCTAGCAATTTAGGGTAAAGATCAAAATATTCATAAATTATAAAAATGTGGAAAAGTACAAATAATTAGAGAGGAAGGAAGGAAACAGGGAATACCAAACGTGAAAAAGCTGGCAATATTTAACGTGCGAAAAGAACGTATCAGAAAACGGGTTTTTTTTTACGTTTTCTATCTTTTTTTTTGGGGCGGGGGGGGGGGGGGGGGGGGGGGGGG